TAGAGGACAATTGCATTTGATTCCAATTCAAAGTCCAAAAGAAAAGCCCATTTAATGTATTATATTCTTCAAGCCCTCAAATCTTTTAAGTTAATGCAATTCAGTCCTTGAGTCCACTAAATTGTTGCAACCCATGTATTCTTTGATTCAATGCAAATCCTTCACTTTTCAAAGTATGAATTTTGATCTCCAAAATTGTAGATTTCATTTGATTTTGTTCTTCTTCCTTCCCAACTGCTTGGAGACGAGTCCATAACTAAAAATAAAAGAAAATTAACCCAAATTAAGTAGAAATTAATAATTTGACGACATAAAAGTTTAATAATACGGTCCAAATAAGTGTATAAAATACACTTATCACTATTGAAATTCGATGGCTTCAGTACCTAAATTCATGAACTACAAACAATTTGGCAATTGATGATGGAACCAGTCCATATTTCCTCCATCATTAAGATAATCCTGGCTTTGTTCTTGTCTCACAACAATTGACTGGAGACAATTATTCTTCTTGTAGTCGATCAATGATGATTGCATTGTCCGTAAAGAATAAATTAGGATTTATCAATGAATCCATTATGCGACCTTAAAATGATGAGGAACTGCTCAACTCATGGATACACAATAACAACATGGTTATTTCTTGGATTCTCATCTCTATATCCAAGGAAATTTCTGCAAGTGTTATATATTCTGAGTTTGGCTTTGAGATCTAGACAGATCTAAGGGAATGCTATCAACAGAGGAATGGTCCTCGTGTATTCTAGCTGAGGAGAGAATTGATGAACCTCACACGAGGGGAATTATCTGTGAGTTCTTATTTTACCAAGTTGAAGACAATTTGGGAAAAAACTTAGCAATTATAGACTTATATGTTCACGTGCAAAATGTGTATGTGAAGGGAATAAGAAGCTTGCTGAACATTATCAAATGGTGTATGTAATGTCCTTCTTAATGGGGCTACACGAATCTTTTGCTTAAGTTCGAGGTCAACAGCTGTTAATGGATCATATTCCTCCTATCAATAAAGTTTTTTACACTTGTTTCTTAGGAGGAAAACCAGAGAAGGGTCAGTATAATAACTGGAACAAATAATTCCATGGCTTTCCAAGTACAAAGCGAAACTAGAAAAGCTGGGACTGGACAATATTATAACAGAATTCAAAAGAAGGAAATGCATGTTTGTACTTAAAATGGAATCACAGGCCATGCAGTTGATAAGTGTTACAAATTGCACGGTTATCTCCCAGGCTACAAGCCTAGACAAAGGCCTGAAATGAACAATCAAACTGGACCAACTAACCAAGCCAGATGTGATGTGGTTAATCAAGTTTCTGAGCATTAAGTGTCTAAACTTAATGTGAATCAAACATAAGGAAGTGTTGGGGGTTTTATGTGGACACTCAATTCAAATCAATACCAAAACTTGATAGATCTGTTGAACGCTTATCTCAAGGATGCAAAGATAGACATAGAAATGGATGATAAATCTGGCAATGTGTTAGGTACATGTTTCTCAATGTTCAGTACTCCATCACTCAAATACATTTAAACATTGGGTAGTGGACTCAGGTGTTAGGGTCACATATGTTCAAATAAATCAGCCTTTCACGTATTGAAGCATGTTGAAAATGCATTGTCACATTACCTAACCATGAAAAGATTCATATGCAATCTGTTGGGAGTGTGAGAATTTCTCCAAAATTGATAATAGATGATATGTTATCTGTCCCTCAAATCAAGTACAACCTACTATCATTCAGTGCTTTAACCAAGAAATCACCTCCATCCATCAAGTTTCTTTCCGATTCATGTATTATTCAGGACTTGCACACATTGAAGATGATTGGCAAGGGTAAGAGAATTGCAGCTTTCTATGTTATTTATACAAATTTTGATTCAGTTTATTTGCCCAAAATAGCTAATTTTCTTTCCTGTTCATTAGTAAATAATGTAACTGATCGGATTTGGCACCATAGACTTGGTCATTTGTCCTTTCAGAAGTTAAACATGTTGAAAGAACAGTTACATATTACTTGTAATAAGTAGAATGTCCGTGATATAACTCCTTGTAGTATTTGTCCTTTGTACAAACAAATGAGACTATCATTTATTTCAAAAAACCATATGTTTGTTGATACTTTTGATTTGATTCACTGTGATACTTGGGGGCCATATCACATCCCAACACATGCTGGTCATGATACTTTCTTACATTAGTATATGATTGCACACGTTTTACCTGGATATATCTCATGAAGCATAAATCTGATGT